CGTGTGTGTGTGGTAATTTTTTTCTTCAGCTGGAACGGATTAATTGCATTTCAATGCATTCCTATGGGATATGGTACTTCAACTTATTTATGACCATTTCGAGTTACGACTGGAGTTCCGGAACCAATTAAGTTCATAAGTCGAGGCACCGCTGTTGCTTTTTCTGGATTTGTTTTTCTTTTTAATATTTTTCAGACTATGGATAAGTGAAACCACAAATATTGATCCTGTGGATACAGGGGTCCTACTGTAATTGCATTATTAGTGGTTCCTAACCTTGGGTCCCCAAATGTTCTTGAACTACAATTCCCAGAAATCCCGGCAAGCACAGGTAGTGGTGAAGGCTTCTGGGAGTTTTAGTCCAAGAACACCCAAGGTTGGGAACCAGTGCATTATTTTATTTACTACAAAGCACAGTAACCCAGGCAGTCCAGCTGCACTGGAGTGCCCTCCTACTTGTTCTACTGTGTGGAGGCTTGGTCTCTTCCCCCCTCCCCCAAAGTCATGTCTTGAGGGCACCGCTGTCTGCTTTTCCCACCTGCTGTATCTTTCTGCAGTGTCTGAAGTGCTGTTCCCCACATTACAGTTTAATGCTTTGCTTATAAACCTGTGCCCTCTGTTGCAGCTCCTGTCCTGCCTTCCTGAAAGCTGACACCATGACCCTGACCAAGGGCTCCTTCATCTACTCCAGTGGGGAGGAATATTGTGGGGAATGGAAGGAAGGTGAGTGAGGCTGGGCAAGTTGTGGGCAGCCCTCCATCAGACAATGGCTGCCATCGCCACATTAACCAGACTGGAGATCTTTGAAACACCTGATTGGCTGACATTGTAACTAGTAGTAATATGCTTCTATACCTTTTAGGGAAAAGTTTAAATGTCCTTCCATATGTGTTTTACCCCAACCCCATAATCTCCAGAAAGCTTGGCTGTTTGCCACTGGCTGTAGTAGATGGGGATGATGGAAGGTGTATTCTAGCATATTAGAAGGATGGCAGATGGGGGAAGACTAATTGAGAAACTCCTGACTGAAATGTCCCACTCCTAATACAACGCATTA